AATTATATAGGAAAACTGAATTTTTTGCTATTCAATTCATCAAAACATTGTGGTTGACACACACAATTCATCAGGGGTTTAATTAAACCATCTGTAATGTACAAACTCGAAAGAGGTCAAGAGTAATCCTGAAACTACACAAAATGGTATGGGATTCTGGGCAAATATACGAAGATGAATATGCACATGTAAAAAAGTAGTACATGTTAAACGACACAAATAAAACAATTTATCGGATTTTCAAGGGGGAAAACTTGACCCATCTAACCTAAAATAGAGTATCTAACTTCATGACAAATGTAATGATTTTGAGAAATAGGATCCAGAGTCTTACCAAGAAATAAGCTTGTCTGAAAATATTTCCACAAGGCTGAAAGATCCATAAGCTGCAACCATTTGAAGTGGACAATTGAAAGAACTAAATTAGTTGCATGATAATGTCCGAAAATCATAAGCCTGTGTTATATACAGTTGAGATGAAAGTTGAACCAAATCCAAGTTCAAAAGGAAAATAATACTAATAATAATAATAATTTCTAACCTGCCCAATATAAAAGCCACTTTTCTTGTGCATTACGATCTTTCCTTTCAATTGCCCTGCATGTACAGTATACTGGTATACCAATCCCCACAGAACAACTATACCAGAGAAAAACTCAACGTCTAATCACAAAATAACCATTTTTGAAGCTTATACAGAAGAAAGAAACAGTAGTCATGGCTTACCATGCTGTTCGAAGAACAATGTTTGAACCGAGAGGGCAAAGGAGCAATCGTAAACCTACCTGCATTTGACAATCAAAGTTTCTTAATTTCTCACTGGAAATGGTATTAAAATCATTGGTCTACTTCCTCTAATTCATTATCTTGCACCGGATCAGCAAAAATTGAAATTCTAAAAACAAATAATCAATTTAAAGTGAATCATCGGAAATATTATTGAATAAACAATTTAATTTCATATTATCAGTTATTACGAATCCCTAAATCAAATTGGAATTCGAATTTTGGGATCAGCCTGTTACCACTGTTGATGCGAAATTGAAACGAGAGCAAGCCAAAAGAGAAAAATGTCATTGAGCAAAGAGCAAAGGAAAGCAAAATCGAAGGAGGAAGGTGAAACTTGACCTCGCTGGCTATGTTGGATCCGAGAAGCGCCATCTCCGAGCAGATCAAAGAGCTCAGGGAAACCGCCTAACCGTTAATTTCGTTTTCGATATATGGCGTTTTTATACTTGTGATTTATTAATCTAAGTTAGTAGACACGAGATAAATGGAAAAAACTGAGAATTTAAATTAAGGGGAAAAAAAATGTAAAAGTAATTTAAAAAATCATTTTAAATAAAAAACTAATATCAACTTAAAATGATTTTTCGTTAAATGTAAAACCCATTCCGCAAAATGTGGGTCTGTGAATCCGCCCTCTTACACCCATATTCGAATTCATCTCTTTCATAGATTATTGCAAATATCCTTTAAAAAAAACCATATTCTGTGAATTTTACTCCTAATCAACTGTAATTATATGAACTAAAAGGAACTGTAATTGTTTTTTTAATTCAATCGAATTCACATGTTGTGATTATTAATCGTGGGAAGAGGGTTTAGCCACCTATATATGAACTAAAGCAATTAGTAATGTAAAAATGACCAATTAATATTGGAAAATGAGGAATCAAACTTGGGATCTCAAGTGCAATAATAAATACTCAAAAATCATTTGAGTTACAAGCCACTTGCATGCTTTGTTATCGGGTCTGCCGTACTAATCCGAGGGGTTGGAGTGCGCTTAATACAATCTCACCAACATGTAATTGCGAGCAAATTAAGATCATCTTGCTCACTTGGTTTAACTACCAGTATATTGTTAATAATTTAAACGCTCTATTTTAGATACAAACTCAGGCTACAATATTCAATCTTATAATTGAATCTATGAAGAAGAATTGTAAGAAATAAGTGATTTGGAATGAAATATGATTCATTGATTCATAATTGAGCGTTGGGATACTGCCAATAATTGCTTAGCTTCCCTGTTATGTTTGTTCAAAAACAAGCCGAAAAAAGAGTTACAAGGACAAAACCAAACGAGAACCACACGTACACCAAAGAAAGAGAAAACTAGTCCCAAATCCAACAAAACAAATTGGTCGGGATCATTAACTTAACACTTAAAACATAATTACACCCCAAACCCCCAATAGTTAAAGAGTAAGAGTATAGACTATAATCAAGTAAAATAACTACTTAATTATTAGCTAGTTCTAGCCAGCTAGGTAGCTGCAAAACCATAATTAGCTGCCCTAATTACACCTCCATGCCGACGTGGCAACCAGGGCTTTCTCGTGCCAGCAAAGCACCAACTCGGCCTGCCGTTTCGCCACGTGGAACCCCCTGACCTGGACCTTCCCCAGCAAGCACTGGGCCTGAAAGTCCGCAAACTGGCTCAGCTCCACGGCCCTCATCCCCGCCCCGCGAAACGCTTCCCGCCACGGTGGTACCCTCCTCCCCGCCGCCTCCACCGCCGCCTGAATCTTCGGCCGCAGCAAAAACGTCTCAATCTTCTTCATCACTTCGCTGGAAGCCGCCGTGGCCGCGTCGAGCGACTCCAGCATAACGGAGAAAAATTCGAGGCTGGAGACAAAGTTCCTCCTGAAAGACGTCGTTGCGGAGTCCCCCATCCCGTCGGCGTCGACAAACACCACGACGCTTGGCGACAACCGCCGCATGTCGCCAAGAAAAGCGGAAATGTTGTTCTGAGAGCAGAGGCGGCGCAGGATGTACGGCGAGAGCAGAACCGCCGGTTTCTCTCCATCCATGAACTTGAAAGCCTTAAAAGACATCGTCT